GACTGGCATCACACCCGACATAAGAGCCGAGGTAACGGAAAACAGCAGTGCGCGGCAAACCCACACCCCAAACTCTAAGAACCCTACACCCAGGCAAAGGAGCTGCGTCAGCGAGAGAACCAGCAGAGCTTAACATCATCCACTCAGTTTTGACGAAACTGAGGGTAGAGCCATAGTCATCCAAAACCTCGTCAAACAGGCTGGCTACAGACTGAAAATTGGCCCAGTTGTTGTCAAGAAGCAAGGTGTCATCAGCGAAAACTACGTCCCTCAAGTGGATGCGACTGGCAGCTGCTTGGCGCATTTTAATGGGGTTCCTCAAAACGCCATGACGATTCGTGAGCCACGGGACACCGAAGCCTGCAACTCGATGCCAACACCGGTCACGGAAATCGTGAAGAAGCAGACTGTAAAACAGCAACCACAAAGACGGGCCCTCTACTGATCCTTGCCGGACCCCCGTCACCATGGGAAAAGGGTCGCTACACCGAGACTGCTGGCATACGCGGGCACTAAAATCTCTCTCTCTCTCTCTGCCGGCACGCGGACGCAAATAGTGCCGAAATCTACGTGCAAATGTCTGAGCACGGCCACTATATGGTCAGGAAGACCAAGGCGCCCAAACAAAAGCTGGAAAAGGGACTCGCGAGGAACAGAGTCAAGCGCTTTCTGTAAGTCCACAAAAAGGAGAAAAAATCCTGAGAACCATCAGGAGCAAGAGGCCGAGACCGGCGCCACGACTCTAATAAACGGCGGAGAAGAAACGTGCAGTCCGTAGTGCCGCGGTTCTTGCGATATCCGTTTTCAGTTTCACCACAAACTTGTTCAACAACCCAAACCAACCTAGAATTAATAACCCGAGAAACTAACTTCGACACAACATCCAGTAGCACTATGCCTCTGTAATTGCTGAGATCTGAGCGGTCCCCCTTGCCCTTATACAGGGAAAAGAGGAGGGCCTCACACCAAGGGCGTAAGTCCTGCAAGCGAGTACGACCCCTCCAAAAGTCGACAATGAGCTCGTGCAAGCAAAGCAAAACATAGCGAGCATCGTCATTCTCAGCTAACAAGGCCCGCAGTAGCTCCGCGTGCACACCACTGGCGTCAGGGGCCTTCCCTGGAGTGAGCTGTCGAACGCGGGTTTCAACGTCAGCTAAAGAGGGAGGATCCCAAAGGCCATCAGAGAAAGGGAGCGCAAGTGGTTCCAACAACTGTGCTTGCAACACGGCAGGACTGACCTGACGAGGAATGTTAAGAGTGGCGTGAAAATGGGCAGCACTCTGAGGAAGGGTATGCTGGCAGGCAAGGGGGCAACGCGCAGACCCTTATTCCTAAACAACCGCCCTAAAACCTTAGCGTCGTTATAGAGGCGGTGCGCATCACGACGACGCGCTGCAGCCTCCAACCGGGCAAACTGGCCTTGCCACCAGGCAGCCTTAAGACGCCGAGTGCAGTGACGACTGGCGTGCCGAGCAACTTGAAGCGCGTGCCGCCGTGCAGGGTCGCCCGGATGGGCAAAGCACTCATCGAAAGCAAGCTGGCGGGCCCGAGAAACTTGAGCAAGCTCATCCTCGTGACCCTCTCTCCAATCCGAGCGAGAAGAGGAAGCAGCGCCGATAGTGCGCTCAGCAGAAAGCCGTAAAACTGAAGGCAAGGTGGCAAAAGAGGGTGAGGGCTCCCGACGGAGAGCCTCTGCAGCAGAAGACACAAAAGCAAGGGCAGCGGCCGGATCTTGCAATCTGCGGACTGCAAGCCGCGGCGGACGAGACAGAGTTGTTTTCGGTTTGTGCAGGATGTTAGTGCAAAACCCGGAGTGGAGTTTCCCACCGATCATAAGCTTGTTGTTATGCGTTTGCGCGCCGAGAGGCGAAAGGGACTCTCCTGTCCAGGCGCCTCGCATCCCCTGGTTGCAGGTAGACGTCGTCGCCCTCGAGACAGCATGACGTAGCCAAAAGTGTAAAGAAGCCACAGGCCCAGAAGGCTGGCTGTGCATCGGGAGCGTGACGCAACACGGGTGACTGGAAGAAGCACTAAACCCTAAGGGTGATAGGGCCAGAAAATTAAACCACTATGAATCCCCTGCAAAGGCTCAGTAAAGAGCGGCAAAGCTGTGCAGTAGACTGTACAAGCAAAATCTGGAAGGCACACGACGCGATCTGCAGCAGGAACAGTTGACTGAAAGGTTGCAGGCGCGGGCACTATACTATACAAACCCATCTAAACCATAAGTACCCCGGACCGTCCGACACAGAGTTCACTGAAGGATGCTGGGCATACTGAAGGAGCCTGAGAGGCACGCTATGCAAACTGCAGGAAAGCAGCTGGCTGAAAGCTGCAGGCGCCGAACTATACAAACCCTGAAAGCCCGAAGCATCAAAACAGAGTTCACTGAAGGATGCCGCGGGCACACTGGCTGCTTAGGCCGTCACGGACCAACGGACCTTCCGCACAAGTGCTCCAGGTGGTTTAGCAGTGACCTGCTCGCCTCCTGCTGCACGAATGGCCGCAGCAAGATAGCATAAATGAAGCATAAGGAGCGATTGAAGGTGAGGGCGGACCTCCAACAGCACGTGCGACTTCTTAGCCGTCACGCGAGCAGATGCATGCGAGAACTCGTGACAGACTGCAAAACACTGCGCGCGGCCGCAAGAGCCTCACTATCACCCATATCATCCTGACGTGTCTCTACAAGATGGCTAAGAACGGCAAGAGTGACGGCAACACTACAACTACCCCGAGGATGGGGCTGCCCACGTCGGTGGTCAGCCTGCCACTTCTTTACGGCATCAAGTAGGCAAACGGCAAGGGGGCAAGAGGGCTCAAGCTTGAAACACAACGAGAGCTGGCTCTGCAAGGAGCGCAGCACGTCATCGTGCGCAACAACTGCCCGTGTAAGCTCGTGAGTGGTGAGGGCAGTAAGGGCCCCATTGAGAAGCCGGCTCAGCAGGAACAGGTTGTTGACGCTGTCGCTTGTGCTCGGGACTCTTAGGAGACAAGCTACCAGGCGGGGCAGCAGTAGCAGCTTGGGTGGCCATGGCTGTACAACGCAGGGAAGGAAGGGAAGTTAAAAAATGGCTTGAACAAGATAGCTTCACGCAGACAGTCCGCTACGTACATGCCCCCCGTCAGCACCAGAGCCTCAAGGGCCTGTCAGGCCTCATGGCCTGGGGTGGATAGAACCATGCTCAGGGCAGGGTTTTATCTTCCCTGGCTCGGAGGCACCCTGCACGCAGACAAGAGAATACGCTAGTGGGCCTGCATGGGAACGCAAGCAGCAGCGAGGAACTGAACATCTGTAAAACACAGCCAGCAAAAATAGGAAAAAGCGGTGACGACCAACGTGCCCAGCATGGAAGTCACAGTGCGGTACAGTACGCAAGACTATCAGCAAAAGGCATGCTCCCACAGGCAAACAACTTACAGTCCATGAGCTCGCTTTTTACGCACGCCGAGGGCTCGAGTGTTAGGAAAAAGTTTGCTGGCAACCTGGGCTAGGACATGGGAGCGCAAGGTCGCCATTAGGCAAAGCGACGGCGCCACTGCCAAGCCTGTTTATGCACTGATCTTTCTCGTGGCGATGCTGCTGCGAAAGGCTGACGAAGGTAAGACCGCACCCGCGGCACATGCGTGTGAAATCACGCGAAGAGGCGGTGCGAGCTGCGGCGCGGGCTGGAAAGTCCGGGTCCGGGACCGGCGGCGGCTTAGGTGCAAGAGGACATTTCTGCAGGTGCATCGTATAATAACCCTTGTGCCTATAGACCTTGTTACAAAACTCACAAGTCCACACAGAAGCAGCAACCGGGTGCTTCTCACGTATGTGATTCGAAAGACCCTGAGGGTTCTTGGCACGAAAAGGGCATGTGGGACACTGGCAGGGGTCGACTTTCGCCGGCCCCATGCGAGCAGCACGAGGGAATGCACGAGCGGCGCCCTGGCGACGAGAAGGCGGAGGGACAGCGACGCGGCCGACAGATCTGGCCCAAGAAGCGCGGTTCTGAGCAGACCGAGCCCATACCGGCTCATCAACGTCAGGGATATGTTGAATGACCAAACGTGCAGTAGAGGTAAAATGGCCTTTTGGATAGGTCTGCTCGGTGCTGGCCGGGCAAACACGGTTAGGCAGGCAGCCAAAGAGCATGCAATACGTCAAGCTGGCGCCGGGGACACGCAGGGCGACATGCCCGACCCAACCAGCAACACGGCGATAAAGCATGGTGCGCAGGCTAGGCAGGTTGGCAAGACGCAGCAACTCTGCAGAGCTGATTCTATCATCACACTGCGCAACCCAAGAAAGGCCACAAGCACCCCTAACCATCCCCTAACCAAGCCTTATTAAGCGTACGCAAGTGTCGAGACCGAAGAGTCCAGCTCTCACACCCGTACAGCAGCACCGGAGAAATGCAGCAACGTAAGACACGAGAATTCGAAATGCACGAGACAACTGCGTGGCCCAGGCAAGGCCGATGCGACGCTGGACATCTGCATTGACCCCAAAAGAGGAGTCGGCACCCCTAAATACTTAAACAAATTCGTACGTGGAACAGGCATGCCTCGGATAAAAAGCTGTCGTGCCCCAGGAAGTGGAGCCTGGTCCGGAAACTTATCACAACCGAAAACCATCATCCATTCAGTTTTAGTGAGATTCATATCTACACCAAACTCACATAAAACCGTATCAAGTGTATTGGCGGAAAAGGAGAACCGATCCCAATCAGTATCAACCAAAAGGTGTGTCGTCCGCGTACGAGAGGTCCGTAATACGGACAGAGTCCCGTTGTGCCCTGCGAGTGCGCGAAGGCTCGCGGAGAGTGCCATCGCGAGAAGAAACCCACTCAACACCATGAGACGGGCCATGTTGCTGCCGACACCGTCGGCGCCATTCGGCAAGAACAAGGTGTAAAAAAACAGATAAAGGGTCGGGCCCTCTACGCTCCCCTGTCTGACCCCCGTCCGCATAGGGACGGTAGCCCTGAGGCGGCCAGTGTGCAGGACATGCGCCTGCATACGTTCGTGCATACGCACAAGCATACTAATAAAATGCGGTGGGACCCCTATAATTTGTCGGAAAGCAACGCCCACAACTTTTGACGGTTCACACTGTCGAAGGCCTTAGACAAATCCACAAAAAGCAGGTATAGGCAGTCATGCTCAGCGCGAGGCTCACCTGAAAGCGGGCGCGTACGGCCCCACACCTCAAGAAGGCGCCGCCAGGTGAAAACTGCATCTGCAACGCCGCGACCGCGACGAAACCCAAACTCAGTTTCAGTGCAGATCTGCTCAACGACAAGCAAGAGGCGTTTGTTAAGAACCCGGCTAACTAGCTTAGATAAAACATCTAAAAGGACAATACCGCGGCGGTTGCCCAAATCGTCAAAATCACCCTTACCCTTAAAAATAGGAACCAAAATGGCGGTGCGCCAGCGCTCACGCGACACTGGCCGGTCGGCCCAGTAATCACAGACCAAGCAGCGCAAATGCCATAAAGGACCCAACTCATCTGGATCGTCAGCAACAAGCGCGCGCAGGAGTTCTGCATGTATTCCAAACAACGCATCAGGCGACTTATTGCGAGCAAGTTTGTGCAAACAGGCCGTAACTTCAGCAATGTCAGGGGGGTCCCATAAGCCAGGTACCAGCGCCGAGCAATCATGAAACGGCAAACCCTGCCATGTGGAATCAACAACAGGCCGATCAACGTTCAAAACATGCTCAAAGTGCTCTGCAAAACGGTGGCACGCTGCAGCCCTGTCAGCACACAAAGGACCGCGTATTAAACCACGCGTAGAAAACCACCTACCTAACCGCTTAACGTCCCCGTAAAAGGCCCGAGCATCCCCTCTCTCGGCCGAGGCTTGCATGGCTTGAGATTGCTGAGACCACCATTGCGCTTTCACGCGCCGAACGACAACCCGATTAGCGTGACGAACTTCTCGCAAAGCTTGCGCAGCGGCAGCATCACCAGGAGAAGCTCGTGCAGCCTCAAAGGCCTGCTGACGCTGCGCAGAGAGACGACGGAGTTCCTCATCGTGACCGTCACGCCAAGATGGCTGGCCGTTAGAAGCAAAACCAAGAACTTCCTCACCAGCGCGGCGGAGGTGGGCAGACAAACCGTCAAAGCCACTGTTATAGGGTCGAGTTCCAAAGAATGGGAGACGGAGGCCCGAAAAGAGCGGTCTAGGGCGGGCAGCGCCAGCCACGGGGGCAGCAGGGCGAGGAGCGCAAGAGCTCACAGGACACGCCCTGAGAGACAGCAGTACGAAAGTATGGTCGCTGGCAGTCTCAAGTGTAGGCAGGGAAACAACATCGGTGACAAAACGAGAATCACTCTGCCGAGACATTGACAAAGTCAAGAACACCAAGAGACCCCCAACGGCGACGCCGCCAGGTGGCAGTATGAGGGATATCGTGACGGAAAAAGGAGTTGAGCACACGTAGACCTAGCGAAGAGGCAAGCTCAAGCAAAGCACGACCGGTTTGGTTATGGCTCCCTAAACCATGTGGTCCAAGGACGGAGGCAGGTACTTCAGCGTCGCCAGGCTCACGCCTACCGATGCGGGCATTATAATCCCCCACAGCAAACAGCGGCTCCCTTGCGGGGGAGCCCCCCAAAGACTTTGCAGGTCATCTAAGAATCGTAGTTTCTCCTCATCACTCTGTTGAGACGTTGGCCCGTACACAGACCCCAGGCGCCAAAAGGCCGTCGGTGGCTTGAAAAGTAACGCGAAGGAGACGCCCAGAAGTCCAAGATTGGGCAAGGGAACCAGCTAGCCGCCAGGCGCGGCTAGCGTAGGGCTGAGTGGAAGTCCAACTCCACCGGCGGCACAGTTATTAGGGCCACCGGCAAAAATGAGGGTATAGCCACCCCCAACATCAGCGGGCCCGGAACCGGGTAGCCGAACTTCTGACAAAGCCAGAGCGTACATGTGACATTGAGCCATAGGACTCTTGAGATTTTCTAAAACTTCATGTCCACTAGAGGTGAGTGAGGCTACCGTCGGCGTGAACGTCGAGCTCATGTCTTAAAGAAGCAACATTATGAAAACCAATAAGGCATGTGGGCAAAGAATGGCGAAAATGGAGAGCCATGCCGGCATCCCTCCGAATACGCTGATTCCGCCCCGCGGTTTCACTTCGGGTTTGGCCACGGAACGCCATTTGTGGCCACGGAACGTCATTAGTGGGCACAATCCGGAAAGGATATTGGTCGAATGAAACTGCGGCGGTCTAAGGGCAACAAGGGCACAAAGGTAAGGCATGAAATGAAAGCGCCAGCTCAAATCACACCGTTGCAAATGCATTTCACAGGACGCAGCGACGCCAGGTGACACTAGAGGCATCAAGTGAGCAGCAAAGCCACGTGCGCCGTTAGCCGATGGGAGAACCCACCGCTACAACCCCCCCCACCACGATGAGGCGGCAGTGCGAATTTGGGGGGGACCCCATGGTTGACGACGACGACGTCATACTCCATCGCCCAAATTGAGCATGGAATGCCATCTGTACATAAAAGACTGTATGAGTTTGGACCACATGACTTCCAGCGGTCGCAGAAAACACCAGCCAGAGTTGCCAGCATTGAGACGCGCTGCTGCTGCATCTTTCTCGCGGTGCGTGGTGGGTAAGCATGATCCAGCATTGAGACGCGGCCGTGCTTAATCTCCGTCTGGCGGCGGTGCTTGAAGTTCTCCACGCTGCCGTCGGCCGTAAACCCAGCGGGGTCCCAGAAGTAGTAGTGGCTTGTAGTAGCGCTGTAGCATGCCGCCACAGCCCTGCCAACCACCTGAGTCTCATCAATCAACCAATGCATTGCCGGGCAGTGAGCGCGTCTGATATTCTCACCTCTGTGTCAGGCATGCTGCTGCGCTGCTGCTGCTGCTGCTGCTGCTGCTGCTGCAATTGCTGCGCATCTCCTGCTGGGCGTCTGCCCACGATCCTGCGACGAACTGGAAGCACCAGTCCTGTGCCTGGAAACTTGTTCTGAAACTGCGCTCGGCGCGTGTTCTCATGTAAGAGTGGGGGTGTTGTGATGCTGTTGCGCGGTTTGCTTTTGCGATGTGTTCTGATGCTCAGGGCTGAGGGCGCGGACCCACTCTGGTGAATCCGGAGCATTAAGCAACGGTCTACAGCGTACTTTGCTGACACTTCGATGCCTTTCCATGGCCACTCCTTCCCACAAACTGAGCACCACAGCTTGCCGTAGTCCGCACGACCCGCTTGCTTCCCTACCAGCCTTTCCCAGACTAGCTTGTGGCCATTGCTCAAACTCTCATGCAAATCTTGCTCCCGCTTGCTGTAGCCGAGAAACAGATCGCAGAGCACCAGGTTCCTTCAGCCATTCATTCCTCTACTGTTCAAAATCTTCAACCTTTGGTGCTTGATGTTCTTGGTTTGTTTCCCACATTTCTGGCAGTAGACGCCCCCTGAGGGGATCAACTTGAGCGCGTGCCCTCTCCGATCGGCTGGCTGCTTCGTGAGCGTCACGGACACAGTACTGCCTGCATCTGGCTGCTGCCCTGCGGGCTGAGTACTCGGTGCCCCAGAGATTATCTCAGCAAGCTCTTGAAATTGGGTACCACTTGTAAAGCTTCACGTCGTTCTCTGTGATAGCATTTGCAGTACCAACTGATGTGCTCAATTGTCGGCGCCGGCCCTTCACAGGCACAGCGAATAATGCCCTTCCTCTTCCGGCGCCGATGGTCCCTCTCAGGCGTCATCAGACCCGCAGTTAATAACAAGCGAAGCACCTTCAACTTGGCTCTGGGATCCTCGGAGGGAGGTACAAGCAGCACAAGCTCGTTTTGTCCACTGTCCTGCTGAATCTGTAGTGTGTCCGCCTCTGCTGTCAAATCCTGCAAATAGGCCAAGGTTGCCTTCCTGCTGACTCCCCTCTCGGCTCCAGCAAAATGTTGGGCACGCTCGCGAGCAAGCGTTCTCCACGTTTGTTCCCTACATGATTCTCGTAGGTCATGCTGCCATTTGTCACTCTTCAGCCTGTTGCGCAAAAAGTCCTCGACTATTGGTCTGAAAGGCGGCAGCTGTAGTATCCGTGCCAGAAGGCCATCAGAAAGAGGTTCCTGGCGAGCACTGGCGAGCCACTGAACCAAAGTTCGTCGTGACTGGGACGCACTGTAAACCCGCTGTACCAGACGGAAGGCTGCCAGTTGCATAGGAAATGCCGGTTCCAAAGCTGGAGGAGCCAATAGTGTAAAAACCATTTGAGGAAACAACGAGTATAGTCATTCATGTTGCACAGGGAGCGAACCATCTCTGCACGAAGGTGACGCAGATAGTCCCTGTGGCTACAGGAAGTGCGCGCGTGCCTTGTCCAAAGGTCAGCTTAGGAACAGTGCTGCGAAGAATCTTGACCTTGGCGAACCAACCTACAGGGAGTCTTTGGACCCATCGGTCGCCACGTTCCCATTCAAGCGGAGTCCAGCTTTGCCCTGCAGATAGCTTCACGCTTCCTCCCACCAGGCGAAATGTGTGCTTGTAATTGGGCAAATCGGGAAAAGCCCCCTGCACACTTTTGGGACCAAAAACGAAACTCTTGTCACAGTTGATCTGCGTGCCGGTTACCTGAGTGAAAGTGAACGTGGTGTCATGTAGCAGGCGAAGATTGTGTTAGACTTGCTCCAAGCTTTCGTTTTGATCAACCACTGACAGGTCATCTGCAAATGATTTAGGCGTTGCGGTGGAAACCAGCAATAACACGCTTAACGGACGCCCCTGAAGGGTCCCGTTCGCCGCCTTGAATTTTTTGGCATAAAAACCGTCAATCTTGAAATACTTGTGGTGAGCATCCTGAAAACCCGTCAGCGCTCTTAGAACCCCACTGTCTGCTCCTCTCTGCCGGAATATGTCCAAGGCCAAACTGATGGGGACCATGTCGAAGCACTTGCGCAGGTCGTAGCCCAGCCCTGCTGCCACCTGTCCATCGTTGGCTGCTTGTATAACCTGAGCGCAAGTTTCATAAGCCAAAACATCTGCAGCGCGGCCTCCAGGAAGTCCATATGTGCCAGGATCTTGCCATTCCGGGACCCAACTTAGCGCTAGCTGCTTTTGACGGCATGAGGCCCTATACACAGAAGCCAGAATAGTGATAGGTCGGAAATCACCAGCTTGAGGATTGACCCGCGCTGGATCTTTTGCCACGAAAGCTACTGCCCCGCGTGTAGCCACACCCGGCCACTTGCCACTGTCCTCAACTTTCCGCAGGAGCGCCGTGAGGGCGCCTATATGCGAAGGGCACCATTGCGCCAAGTTACGTAGCTCAACTGGCATAATGCCATCCACTCCCGCCGAAGTGGGCTTGGCCTCCAAAATAGTCGTCATCATGTCATCTTTATGTAGAGGCGGAAGGTCGACGACTGTTCGCTTGAGGGTCGCCCCACACTTCCGCATGAAATTGACCAACTTGGGTTCACCATGTTGATGACGCATGTAGATACCTTCCCACACAGTTGTGATGGCATTTAGGCCTGCATGTCTGCAGTCGCACCAGACGCAGCAACTGTGACACGAACAGGTTCTTGACGAGCTTTGCTACATAGCCATCCATAGCACTCCTTGTCATTGTTGCGCATTCTCCGCTTCCACGCATTGAGGCGAGCAAACCGGTCTCGGCGATGTTCTTTCTCCAGGAGCTTGTTAAGGACATCCACAACGGTGTTCGCCGCCTCAAGGCTTGCAGGTTGGCCAAGAAGAGGACGTAGTTCATCCGCATCAGGTCGCAGTAAATGCTTGAGGAGCTTGCTAGTTGCTTCCCAGGCTTTGTCGCGACGAAAACCAGGGGCAGCTTTAGCAACTTCTCGTGCCCGACAAAGAGCCTTCCATATTCGTCTTGTAAGCATCGTAGAAGCACTTTCTTGGACTGAGCGTGGAAAATGGCGCTGCTCATGGAAGACCACATTGCCACGTTTGACTGCACCACGTGACACATGGTGTCCTTGCTTGTTGGCAATGTCAAGGAGTATGCGCTCTGTCTCCTCACACCAGAGTTGGTACGCCTTGTCAAGCTCATTCTGCGCCAAAACATGCCAGAAACCACTTGAAGGGTGACCTCAACCATGGAATGGCTTTTCAACTCATCGTGTTTCCGCACCTTGTAGCCAAAAAGATGTGGTCAATCTGGGAGCCCCCTTGCACATGACAAGTAAGTATTGGCCGGCCGCATGTCTTCTGTGCCTAGTCTGCGACAGTCAAACCAGCTACCATTGCGCAAGAGCTGCTGCACTAAGTGACTCTCATCAATGACCATATTGAAGTCGCCTATGACGACAAAGCTAGGCAAGTCACCGCGCGCAGCAATGTCCTCAGCAATGGCCTGCATCATGGCGTTGAAATACTGTCTTTTGGTACGCTCCCAACGCGCCCCACTGTGTCCGTACACACCATACAATATTATCGCCGTGCCACCCTGTCCAAGCCATAGCTGCGCTGCAAGCAACCTGCTGTCCTGCCAAAAACGTTGGCACGCATCTTCTCGTTTCCACGTAATTTGTGTGGCCGCCCAGCATCTACTCCTTCGACAAGCATGCCAATTCCATTGTAGTACTTTTGCTCCTCGCCAGGGCTCCAGAAGGTGAAGTAATTGGGAAAAGTGTAGGGGTAGGATTTGACAAGGTGAGTTTGTATGTGCGTCTCGGTAAGCACAAGGACGTCATGAGGCATCTCCTTGATAGCTTCCCATTTGGGCGAGTCGGAAAAACCTCCAACATTGATGCCACCTATAGTGAGCACCGTGTGGTTCATTAGCTTGCGGTTCGCCTTCCAACTGCGCGTTTGCGCAGCGACGGCAGTGTTGCCGGGCATTGCATTTTGCGGTTGCGAAGCTTGCTGACCAAATGCCAGCTAGCCCGTTGTGGCCCTACCTTCGCAGGTCCACACTGGCAGTGCCTCCGTAAGGGGCACTGTAGTCACTCAGTTCGCTGCTTTCGCAGGTCCGGCAAATTGCCAGCTGCAGCTTCTCGCTCCCTCTTCTCCTGGCTGTCCGTTTTGCCACCTGCGTTGGTTGGTGTTGTGGGAGGCGGCTGCTGGTTAACTGCGTCAGGAGCTGTCCCAGTCAGCATAGGCATCTTCGGGACATGCTGTGCTAGCCTCTGGCCATTCCCTACATCGTTGTGCCTCCACAGGCCTAGTGGAGCGGGTTGTACTTGCTGCGGCCTTGCTGACGGTTGTGGTCCGCAACCTGCTTCTTGGCTAGCGCGTTCAAGGCCTTGAGCTGCAACTGCTTCTTGTGGCCACCTGGGAGCTGGTAGTACTGGGATTGCAACCCCCGCTTGCTAGGCTCAGCGTTGAAGAAGAGGATCTCCACCACCTCCCAGCCACGTGTTTGGAGCAGAGCCAGTGCTCCCGCCCCAGTGTGAAGTGGCAAGCCGCTCAGCCGCCAAATGCTGTAGGCCGTCGTGTCCTCCAAGTTGTTGCGCTTGGCACAGTGTTGGAGGGCCAGCTCCTTGAGAAATCAGATGGCACAGCGTGGGTCAGCCTTTGCGTTCTTGACCACGACGCCAAAACAGTCCCGTTCGGAATCCGCAAGGTTCACAGCTTCGTCCAATGTAGTTTGCGAGGGTAGCCAAAGCAGGTGGAGCTCTCCCATGTATCTGCTGGAGGCATGCAACTTGTGGTAGACGCCGTCCTTTCCAGATGCCTTTAGAATCGCCTCAACCGCGGACTCATGCATCATGACAGTGGCGCTGTTGTCCATTCGCACCGTCAATGCTTCATAAGCCACTGGGTCGATGTGCCTCTCAAGGAGCTTCGCTATTGTGCTGCCATTGATGGCCTCCTCGTTCCAACCAGGCATCTTGATAACCACTTTGCGCATGGGTATGGGTACGCTCACCTGATCGCCAAGGGCTGTCTGGTGAACCTCTGGACCAAAACCTATCTCGAGTATGGTGTAGCAAGTTGAGGTGCCATGATTGCTGAAAATTGACTGCTTTTGATTTCGGATTTCAGAGTAAGCGGCTACTCCAAATCACGTAGAGTCGGCGCCTTGGACTATGGTGCTATATCGCAACTAAGTCGCTCAGGAGTGATGTAGCCCATAGTGGCCTGCGCTGAGGCTTCCAGGGTTTCCACGGCAACGGTAAACGGGTACCATATTAAAGAAACAAACTAGCTGGCCCGAATACCAAAAACAGGACCCA